GTACAAGCTACAACATATTGATCAGTGACTGCTGCGTCAAAGTGGAATTTCTACGATGATTCTTAACAACCTTAAAGGAGCTACGTCACCGTTTGCGCATCTTGCAAAGTTAAGGCTAAATTTTCAAGTTTGTCGGCTTGAAAATGCGTGTCAATCTTCTCCATCCTTAATCCTTGTTCCTTCAGGGATCATTATCTCTTTGGTGTTTTTCTATCTTTGTAAACTACTATTTTCAGTTTTCCTTCAATTTAAAGGTAATTTTGTACGTGGCTGAAATAACTCAAAATGCAATAACTGAGTTCTGTTAAGTGTCTTTGTATTCTTAGGGTCTCGCTGTAAGGACCTGTAAGGGTAGCCGCGTAGTTTTTCTTTAGGATATAACTCAACTCATGAGAGGTTAGCTGGGCTTACATAGTTTGAATTTTCTAGGGCGTCATAGAATCAGCAAACTACATTTTTTCACCTTACCGGTTTTTATTTGAAGTAAGACCACTGAGAGTCCACTCCAGAATACTGATATTTCTTAACCTGATACCTCTGCTTGTACACCATGACACTGTTTATTTGAGAATTCCAAAGAATATAGAAAACAGTCACCTTTGTTTCGTGTTTTTACAGTTCTCTCTTAGCTTGTTCTCAAATCATCATTGTGTTTTATACTTCGCTTAGAATGTTTAATCTTATCTGTTCACTGAAACTCAAATGCCGTGGATGGACTCAAATAAACGCATTTACCTTTACATAAAACAAGTTCTTCGCTAATACACTTAGAGTTTGCTTAATAGCTGAAAACCTGCTATTATTTAGTTTCAGTTCGTTTCCCCTGTCATCTTGCCAACTTTATTTTTAAATTGATTTCTATACTCGCCTGTCACCAACGTGATATCACGAATTGTTCGGTTCTATCTGCCTACGAAAAGGAGCTCTTGAACTAAGGGAGAGTAGTTTCGATCATGCATTCTTGGCCCATATTACCTTTTTTTTCCCTTAACTATGACGTCATCAGACACATGACCTTATGACCATGACCTTAAAGTGCCTATGAACAGAAAAATAATTGCTGCTTATTTGAAAGGATTTGAAAGGCTATTTAAAATACAGAAGAATGACGTTTTCCTTTTTGGAATATCATTTTTCGTTTTAGAGATATTGTAGTTTTTGTATTATTCAAATTACGAAGCTTATGACGTCATCAGTTTCGCAACTAAAGCGGTAAAATATTGAATAAAGAATATCTCTGAAAATATTGAAGTGGTGTTCTTCAAACTTGGCACCAGAAATGTACATCACAAAAGAAACAAAATAACACCTGTTGTGCTGTTGTGCTGTCGCCATGACAACAGCTTTGTCGCTGGTCCTGTCTTAATTAAAACTGAAATTCTCAGTTTTTGTCTTAACCAAGGATCAAATGTCAAATCAAGTACTGTCATGTAATTTCCTGTCATGTAATGTGGTGCCGTGTCACATTATAACATATCATGTCATGTACTGTGATGTCGTCTGATGTCATGCCATGTCATGCCATTTGATATCACGTCACGTTACGTCATTTCACGTAGTGTCACTTCATGCTTTATACTTCCTGTGAAGATGATCTCGTAACTTGGTGATGTCAAATACGATCAGATGCAAAACAGGCAAAACCACGAGAAGGAAAACGATCATCAGGCCTCCAACGATGGGCTTGAAGTTGTCGTAATCCAGAATTTTATAAATGTAAGTATTCCCTTGATTATTGGTTCCACCAAGGAGCCAATAAATAATGGAGAAGACGAGGTAAAAGAGAGTGTAAAGCAAGGCGTACATGGAATGCAGGAGACGGACTCGGATGGCGCTAAGGCACGTGTCAATCACCATGAAGACGGGATTGAGTGCGTGCTTTGTAATATTATTGGCATCGACTGGGTCATCACCTGCCAACACGCGTTAGTACCCCGCGGTTACCAACAAGCCAGCAGTTGCAGCAATGACATGGATAAACCAAAAGAACTTGTGCTGACACTGTAGGGCGTCTTCCGGCACTATCTTGATGAACGGCGCCGTAGTTGTCAAGCTCCATTTCGATCTCCACCGTCCGTTCATCTGTAGCTAGAGTTGTGGTCTCCGTTTGCTTCTTCAGGTCTTTATAAAGGGCGATACCAGTGGCAGACCCAGACCTTGAGCTAAGGAGGAGGGGGCGGTTTTGTTTTGTTTTGTTTGTTTTTTTGCTTGCTCTGCCGGCTTTTCTTTCTTCTGCGATTCTTTTTTACCCAAAATAAGGGGGGGACCGGGCCCCCCGTCTGCCTCCCCCAGATCCGACGCAGGATACCAGAGAGCGTTGTTGCAAAGACAAAGTAGATGTTCAATATAGTGTAAGTCCAGTTGGTTAAGTAGATGAACAGCTTCGCTCCGTTCAAGTGGATGTTGTAAAACAGCCATTCAAGGTTGTCAGGTCTTGTAAGCAGTTACAATCAAGCGATACGTCACAAAAACCGATAGAGACAGCCACTTAAGCAGAAAAGAACTTTCAATGCTCAAGCTGTAGCTTATACAAAAATAAATGTTTTCTTGATCTAAAGGATAACTTGTTCAAATGAAAGATATCACGATCAGTTGCACAAGATGAAAATGGGAGAACCGATATTGCCTTGGGAATGGTACACACTACCTGTTGTGAGCCGTATTAACGTCGTGAACTGCAATATATCTGTGATAAATGGCGATAAATGTTGTCGTAAATCGTGATTGCTGCCGTGGTTTTCAAGAATAGCTACTACGTTTTGCAATATTAAAATGTGCCTGTCGTAAATATTAATTATTCACTCATTGTCACAATTAGTATAGAAATCCTCCACGGCTGTCATAAATATTGATAACACTTGTCGCGTTTATAAAATACGCACTCGCATCGGAAATTGCAGAACCCTGTTGCAGAAATTTGCATGGATAGTGTTGTAAAGCCGATACACAATTTCTTTAAGTGAAAATCTTTCCAGAACTAGGTGCAACTAAAGTACGTATACTAGTAATAGGAATTTATCTTCCACTAGCTGTATATACAACTTTATTGAAATTAAATACGTGTGTGGTGTGATCAGTGACCAAGGACACGTAATCAGACTTTTGGATGTTTTACATAAAGTTTTTCTCTGGGTGTTTTCTTCATTTTCTATTGTAGGTTTAAGTTGAAAAATCTCTGATTCTGATTAGCAATCAATTATAAGAAACCATCGCTCTCTTCAAGTTCCACAAAAGTAAACAACAGAGTGATTTTTCGAACCATTTTTAGTTTAAAACCGATTAGCAGCGGTTGCAATAGCCGTAAGTCACGTTA